CTTCCTCAGTATTACCACTTCCAGCAGCCGAACGTAAATTTTTTTCTTTTTCTTCTTCTGCTTCTGCTTCTTTTAAAAGTTTAGCAATTTCTTCGTTACCCTCTTGCAAAGCAAGTTTCCTTGCAGTTTTTCCGTCATCGCTTTTTAGTAAAGGATTTGCACCTTTTGCTAATAAAACTTCTACTACCCTAGTATGGCCATAAGTATAACTATATCTAGCAGCCAAATGCAAAGGAGTCTGTTGCAGTTTATCTGCTGCGTTAACACTTGCCCCTTTTTTTATTAGGGTTTTTACTGTATCTATCTCACCATATCTAGCAGCAAGATGCAAAGGAGTCAGTCCACCATTATCTTCTGCATTAACATCTATACCGTCTACTGCTAATAGAGCATCTACTATCTTAGTACAGCCATTTGCAGCAGCAAAATGCAAAGGAGTATATCCATTTTTATCTTGTGCATTAACTTTTGCACCTTTTTTTATTAGAGCTTTTACTATCTCAGTATAACCCTTTTCAGCAGCCAAATGCAAAGGAGTCCATCCATCTTGGTCTGCTGCATTAACATTTGCACCTTCTTTTAATAGAGCTTTTACTGTATCTGTTTTACCATGCATAGCAGCCCAATGCAAAGGAGTATATCCAAACCTATCTTTTACATCAACATTTGCCTTGTGTTCTGATAGAGCGTTTGCTGTCTCAGTATGACCAAAGACAGCAGCAAAATGCAAAGGAGTCCTTTCATTCTGATCTTTTGCATCAACATCTATACCGTTTACTGCTAATAGAGCGCTTACTGTATCTGTCTTACCATTTTTAGCAGCAAAATGCAAAGGAGTCCTTTCATTCTGATCTTTTGCATCAACATCTATACCGTTTACTGCTAATAGAGCGTTTACTGTATCTGTCTTACCATTTTGAGCAGCCAAATGCAAAGAAGTCCGTCCACCCTTATCTTTTGCATTAACATTTGCACCTCTTTCTAATAGAGCTTTTACTGTCTCAGTATGACCAAAGACAGCAGCAAAATGCAAAGGAGTCCTTTCATTCTGATCTTTTGCATCAACATCTATACCGTTTACTGCTAATAGAGCGCTTACTGTATCTGTCTTACCATTTTTAGCAGCAAAATGCAAAGGAGTCCTTTCATTCTGATCTTTTGCATCAACATCTATACCGTTTACTGCTAATAGAGCGTTTACTGTATCTGTCTTACCATTTTGAGCAGCCAAATGCAAAGAAGTCCGTCCACCCTTATCTTTTGCATTAACATTTGCACCTCTTTCTAATAGAGCTTTTACTGTCTCAGTATGACCAATTACAGCAGCAAAATGCAAAGGAGTCCGTCCATATAGGTCTGCTGCTTTAACATCTGCGTCTTTTGCTAATAGAGCGTTTACTGTATCTGTCTTACCATTTTGAGCAGCCCAATGCAAAGGAGTCCATCCATCGTCGTTATCTACTAAATTAACATTTGCACCTCTGTCTAATAGAGCGTTTACTGTATCTGTCTCACCATTTTGAGCAGCCCAATGCAAAGGAGTCCGTCCATTCTTATCTTTTGCATTAACATTTGCACCTCTTTCTAATAGAGCTTTTACTGTCTCAGTATGACCAAAGACAGCAGCAAAATGCAAAGGAGTCCGTCCATATAGGTCTGCTGCTTTAACATCTGCGTCTTTTGCTAATAGAGCGTTTACTGTATCTGTCTTACCATTTTGAGCAGCCCAATGCAAAGGAGTCCATCCATCGTCGTTATCTACTAAATTAACATTTGCACCTCTGTCTAATAGAGCGTTTACTGTATCTGTCTCACCATTTTGAGCAGCCCAATGCAAAGGAGTCCGTCCATTCTTATCTTTTGCATTAACATTTGCACCTCTTTCTAATAGAGCTTTTACTGTCTCAGTATGACCAAAGACAGCAGCAAAATGCAAAGGAGTCCGTCCATATAGGTCTGCTGCTTTAACATCTGCGTCTTTTGCTAATAGAGCGTTTACTGTATCTGTCTTACCATTTTGAGCAGCCCAATGCAAAGGAGTCCATCCATCGTCGTTATCTACTAAATTAACATTTGCACCTCTGTCTAATAGAGCGTTTACTGTATCTGTCTCACCATTTTGAGCAGCCCAATGCAAAGGAGTCCGTCCATTCTTATCTTTTGCATTAACATTTGCACCTCTGTCTAATAGAGCGTTTACTGTATCTGTCTTACCATTTTCAGCAGCCAAATGCAAAGGAGTCCATCCACCGTTATCTTTTGCGTAAACATCTGCATTATTGTCTATTAGGGTTTTTACTATCTCAACATGACCATTTTGAGCAGCCCTATGCAAAGGAGTATATCCAAACCTATCTTTTACATCAACATTTGCCTTGTGTTCTAATAGAGCGTTTACTGTATCTGTCTTACCATTTTTAGCAGCAAAATGCAAAGGAGTCCGTCCATATAGGTCTGCTGCTTTAACATCTGCGTCTTTTGCTAATAGAGCATTTACTATCTTAGTACAGCCATTTGCAGCAGCCAAATGTAATAATGAACCTCCATTGGTAAATAAGTGATCTACACCAAATTTAGCTTTCTTCCATTTTTCATACTCACCTTCATCTCTTTCCTTTAATGCCTCTTGTATTTTTTCGATTATGTTGTCCTTATTCAGGCCTCCTTTTTCATTGATTGAGTTTAACATTTTTTGCCACTGTTCGTAATCCATAGCTTTACTCCTAAATCTTAAATTACTTAATTATTGAATAATATAGTAAAAAAGTCAATTTATTTCTTGATTTTTAAAGAATCGTATTTTTATACTTTGAGCTTTATGAGGACACTGAACCTGTCTACAGATTAGAGATGAAAAGAAAAAAGTGGTAGTTTTAGCGAAGGAAAACTACCAGTTAAAATGAAAGTGAGTGCTTACACTACCCTCTCAAGCATCATGCTTCTTGCGGTCTGCCTATCCGCGGCTTGAATTTCTTGCACTTCATTTACTTCAGTGCTAGGCTTTAACACATAATATGTAATGAAGCCAATAACCAGTGATGCTGCTGCAATTGCAGCCATTGCTGCCAATATAGAATTCAACCCAACTGTAATCATATCAGCTGCAAACAGTTCCACTGCTACTGTAGCACCTAATGCTGAGGTTATACCACCGTAAATAACTCCCTTTTTGATCGCTCGTCTTTTTTCCGCTTCTTCTAACAGCTTAGCTATTCCTTTGTAATCCCCTGCCGGAGTAAGGTCTCTTGCAGTTTCTCTGTTGTTGCTTTTTAGTGAAGAATCTGAACCTCTTTTTAATAGTGCGTTGACTATATAACTTTTCAGAGTAAGGCCTCTTGTAGTTTCCCATTTGTTATTTTTTAGTGAAGAATTTGTACCTCTTTTTAACGATGTGTTTGCTATATAACTTTTCAGAGCAAGGTTTCTTGCAGTTTCTCTGTTGTTGCTTTTTAGTAAAGGATCTGCACCTCTTGCTAATAGAGCGTATACTATGCCTTTATGACCCTTTTCAGCAGCCCAGTGCAAAGGAGTCCGTCCATATCTACCTGCTGCGTTAACGTTTGCACCGTTTGCTAATAGAGCATCTACTATGCCTTTATGACCATTGCAAGCAGCAAAATGCAAAGGAGTATTATTATTTTCATTTACTATGTTAACATCTGCATCTCTTGCTAATAGAGCATCTACTATCTCAGCATGACCCTTTTCAGCAGCCAAATGCAAAGGAGTCTCTCCATATTGATCTGCTGCTTTAACATCTGCGTTTCTTGCTAATAAAGCATTTACTGTCTCAGCATGACCATTTTCAGCAGCCCAATGCAAAGGAGTCCGTCCATATTGGTCTGCTGCTTTAACATCTGCGTCTTTTGCTAATAGAGCATTTACTATCTCAGCATGACCATTTTGAGCAGCCAAATGCAAAGAAGCCCAATTATATCCACCTACTGCGTTAACACTTGCGCCTTTTTTTATTAGAGCTTCTACTATGTCTTTATAACCAAATTGAGCAGCTAAATGTAATAATGAATATCCACTGGTAAATAAATAATTTATGTAAAAGGGATCTTCCTTTAGAGCTTTCTCCCATTTTTTATACTCATCTTCATCTTCTGCTTTTAATCGTTCTTTTATTTTCTGAATTACATTGTCCTTATTTGGATCTTTGACTGTACTTAATAAGATTTTCCACTGTTCACTATCCATAATTTTACCCTTAAGCCTCAATACTGCTTAAGTATCAGATAATATGCCAAAAAAGTCAATCTATTTTTTAGTGCGCTAAGTTCTGTTAAAATTTCGTTCACAGGATTCTGCAATGCACCTCTCTAAAAATTTCTTACTATAAGCGAAATTTTGCAAGAGGTTTAATCTCTTACTGTAATTTTAGTTAAGATAATAACACAACGGCATGTGCTGCTATTCCCTCTGACCTGCCAATGGAGCCTAGTTTTTCTGCAGTAGTTGCCTTGATATTTATGAATTCATTATTAATTTTCAAGATTTTTGCTAGGGATTTTCTCATCTCTGCTTTATAAGGTGATATTTTAGGTTCTTCACAAATTATTGTAACATCCAAATTGGATACACTATATCCACTCTCTTCTGCTTTCTTGACTGCGAATTCAAGGAAGTGTGATGAATCGTGATCCTTCCATTGAGGAGAATTGGGAGGAAAATGTTCTCCTATATCGCCGCATCCTAGTGCCCCTAGTATTGCATCAACAATAGCATGTATAGCAACGTCGCCGTCAGAATGGGCATCTATCGCCATATTATGTTCAATTTCCACGCCACAGATCTTTATTAAGCATTTATTGTTATTTTGTTTCACAAATCTATGTATGTCGTAACCACTGCCAATACGTAATTTTGGCTCTACATTAATAGATCTTTTTCGAAACTCGATTTCTAATGGTAATTTTGTTGTCGAAGCTTGCTTGCGCTTCTCAAATACATCTAAGTATTCTGCAGTGCTCTGCTGCATTTCTTCTAAAAATTTTTCACCATAAATAGGTTTCGAAAGAAGCCTAATGTCTTCTACTGTAGTAAGTTTAAAGTTACTTTTTTCACCTTGAATAACTGCTACGTTTTTTCCCTGAGCTAAAACTAGTGAAGAATCATCAGTAAAAAGTTCCTTTGTTGATTGATGGCATGATAGTAATTCTTCAAAGTTGAAAATTTGAGGAGTTTGTATAGCTCGTAGTTTTTCCCTATGCGTTGTTGATGTAATTAAGCCATCTTTTATTAATGATATAGTGTCTTCAACGTATATTGCGGGCACAACTCCTGTATATTTATAATCTATATGTTCAATGAGTTTTTCTATTAAAATACTTGAAACAAAAGGCCTACAAGCATCGTGTATAATAACATGATCAGCTTTTATACTTTCAAGTCCTATCTTGACTGAGTTTTGCCTGTTTTCTCCTCCGTGAACTGGGCTTAATAATCNTTATAAAGATTTTCGTGGTTTTCATTAATTACTACTCTTACGTGGTCTATATACTGCTTGGATAGGAATTTTTCAATCACATGCAGCAAAACAGGCTTGCCTGCTAATTTTATATATTGCTTTGGGATGGAAGTATTGCATCTACTACCAACTCCTGCTGCAACTATCAACGCTATATATTTTTTAAGTTTGTACATCTTAGTTTGCCAAAGTAAGTACATAAGCATACACTAGAAAACATTTTGAAATGATAAAAAAATTTGTTACTATACTAAATAGTATATAAACTCATAAATGAATAATGACAAAACATATCTAGTATTTTTTATGGGGTAGGGGGTAATCATACAAACAGTATGAGATATATAACAAAAGCAAAGAAATTAGAAGGCTATGCACATAAATACCCGGCTGCATTTCAACACTATATTTCCTACTGTATAGCAAGCTTTGCATTTCTTGCAGCATCAATACTTGCACCTATTGCAGTGCTTTATGCTACTTCAGTAACGCTTGCAGGAGCGGGATTAGCAAGTCTTGCTTGTATTTTTTTGTCTGTTCTGTTCATTATGATACCATTTAAGCATAGAAACCAAGGTCTATTTAAAGATTCGATAGAACATATAGATCAACGAGTAAAGAATGAAGGAGTAGATCCTAGTAAAATTATCCTTTTTGGGCACTCTTTTGGTGGAGCCACTGCGTTGGAAATTTGCAAACATTTTGCGAATAACAATATTAAGCTTGGAGGTGTGGTTTTGACCAATACTTTTAGTTCACTTGAGCAGGCTATAAGAAACTTTCCTCTTCTTCCTCAAGCAAAAGTTTTGAGTTTATTACCTTTAGGAAAATTGTTAAAGTGTTTGGATTTAGAATTTAACTTGGCAGGAGATATTAAAAAATTGCACGATGGTGGAAAAGCTGTACCGATAACAGTGATAAATAACGTTTATGATAATATGATACCAAAATCTGCACAGCTATTATATAAGATTGAGCATCTAAAATCGGTTAAAGCTATCGAGATGAAATGTAGTAGTTATGATTATCATAATTATGTGCTTGATAGTGTTGAACTTGCAGAAGAGATAGTGTGTATAGAATGGAGCATAAGAAAAATGATGCTTGAAGAGATAAAGTTAACTCAATCTAGAATTCTACTCTCTTAATATTTCGTTTATGGGTATTTTTGATCTAGTTTTTTCGTCTACTTTTTTAACTATTACGGCACAGTGGGTTGAGATATTACCTTCAGATTGTATAGATCCTGGTACCACAACAGAGTAGGGTGGCACTTCTCCGAAAAATATTTTGCCGGTTTCTCTATCGACAATTTTTGTTGATGCTGTAATAAACACTCCTGTACCTAATACTGATCCTTCTCTGATTATTACACCTTCAGCGATTTCGCTACGTGCTCCAATAAAGCAGTTATCTTCTATGATCACTGGTAAAGACTGAAGAGGTTCAAGCACACCACCTATTCCTACTCCGCCGGAAACATGGCAATTTTTGCCTATCTGAGCACAACTGCCAATTGTTGACCAAGTATCTACCATTGTTCCTGAGTCAACGTATGCTCCGACGTTTACGAAGCTTGGCATTAGAATAACATTTTTTCCTATATATGCAGATTTACGGATATAGCATCCAGGCACTGTTCTAATTTTTGAATCACAAAATTTTTTTTCATCCCAGTCAAAAAATTTATTGTCGATTTTATCAAACCATCCGTTGCCGAGGATTTTGCTTTTGCTAGTTAGAAAATAAAGCAATATTGCTTGTTTAACCCATTCATTTATTATCCACTGTCCATTGGGTGTTTTTTCTGCTGCTCGTACCTTGCCTCTATCTAAAAGTTTCATTACTTCTTCAATTCTTGTTTTTGCTGACTGTTCGCAACTTAACCTGTCTTTGTGTGACCAGATATTTTCTATGTCGCGTTGCATTGTTTTTAGTTGCAAGTTTTTTACTATTGATATTAAACTAACAGAGATTTTATATGTAAATACTATGAAAATACAATGTAAGAATTGCACTAAAGTTTATTTAGTACCTGAAGACCAAATTGGTAAGTCTGGAAGAAAGGTCAAGTGTACAAGTTGTCATTACATATGGTATGAATATCCACAAGTTGCTATTAATAGGCAGGAAAAAAAAAGTGGGCTGTGGAAAAATCTAGCTTTAGCATGTATTATGTTTGTTGCTATATCAGCTGTTATAGTTGACCCAAACGAGGTGCAGAGATTGTATAACAAATATAAAGATTCGATGCATTATAAATTATCAGGGCATAAAAAAGAGCCAGAAAGTAATTATCATATAAAGATTAATGCAAATAATGAAGATTATTTATTTCCATATCATTTGAAACATTCTTCGCATATTAACTGACAAAAAGTTAAAGAAAATTAACAGGATCCACATCTATTGTGACAGTTATACTTGAACTTAAGTGGCATTTTTTTATCCAGTCTTTTAAATTTTTTTGTGCAGCTAAGCTGTGTTTATTATATATTTTCAGTAATATCCTATATCTATATCGGTTATTTAAAAAATTTATAGCTGCCGGTGATGGTCCGAGGATTTCCAGTTCATTATTATGTGGAATGTTTTTTGCTACTTCACTTGCAGCTTTTTGTGCTGCAATTTGATTCTTTCCAGAGATGATTAGTGCTATTAGTCTACTAAAGGGTGGCATTTTAGCCTTGCGTCTTGATTCAAGCTTAATCTCATAAAATAAATCCCGTTTTCGGTGTTGTAGTGCTTTTATAATTGCACTATCAGGGTTATTAGTTTGTACAATTACTGTTCCTTTTTCATTAAATCTGCCTGACCTACCTGCAACTTGATGTAACAATTGATATGTTTTTTCTGCTGCTCTTAAGTCTGAATTTTCCAAACCTAGATCTGCATTTATTACTCCAACTAAAGTTAGCTTGGGAAAGTTATGCCCCTTAGCAATTATTTGTGTGCCGATAATGATGTTTACTTCTTCTCTTAATACCAAATCAATGATGTTGTTAACTGATTTTTGATCACTACTAATAATGGCAGTTTTTGCATTTGGTATTAGCTTTACTGTTTCTTCAAGCAGTCTTTCAATTCCTATGCCATAGAGAAATAACGACTCTTCACTTTGGCAATTAGCACACTTTTCTGGAAGTTTTAGTTGATAAGAGCAGTGGTGGCACAGGAGTGCATTTTTTGTCCTATGGTATGTGAGCCAAATAGAACAGTTAGAACAAGAGATTTTGTATCCACACTTTTTGCATACTGCCAATTGCGCATACCCTCTACGATTCAAGAAAAGCATTACTTGTTGTTTTTTGTCTATAGTGAGTTTGATGTGCTCGAAAAGCTTGGATGAAATCCACTGTTTGTTGTTCACTACTTTGATTTCTGGTAGTTCTGCGTTACCAAACCTTTTTGTTAATCTTACGTGGTTATAGTTATTATTCTTAATATGATAAATGGTTTCAAGCAATGGAGTTGCTGATGATAAAATAACAGGTATATTCTCAGTTTTCGCGAGAATGATAGCCATGTCTCTGGCATTGTATATCATTCCTTGTTCCTGCTTAAAGGATGAGTCGTGCTCCTCGTCTATAACAATTAATTTTAAATTTTTATAGGGCAAAAAAAGTGCAGATCTTGCTCCTATAATTATCTGCGTACTTCCATGTGCTATGCTTATCCAGTTGTTGCGACGAGCTTTTGGAGTAAGTCCGGAGTGCCATTCACCTATATT